ATGTACTAGAAACAATCAAGGGGACATCTAAAGCTTTTTAATAACTGCATCATTCTTAGGACACTGTGTCTTTCGATCATATGTCTACCATATTGCATGGCCCTGTATGGCCCCAGTAAAAATGGCCCTGGTAATATTTCTATTATTAATAGAAATTACTTTTTTTTTAAATCTTCAAATATTTAAATACTGTAAAATAGCAAGTATTGAATCAAAAAATAAAAAATGGCCCCCAATTATAAAATTCAATAAAAAAAATAAATTTTTTAATGCTGTAAAATACACTGTAGCAAAAATTTAATTAGTAAATCAATAGAAACCAATGCATATTTGAAAACTAAAATAACTTAGTTTTTTGCTGATTGATTAATTAATAGATATTCTTTGTATGGGCAGCTGTTCGGGCTAAGTATTTATTATTATTATATTATTACTCTCTTTTTCTTTAAAAAAAAAATAATTTGATGTTCATATCAACCCATTTTTGCGGAGTTTAGCAATACCCGGATTGAATTTCTTGAATATCGCGATTCCGCTTCCGTGAAATTGGCCACAAATAAGTTATTTTAGTATTAATAAATGCATGATTTATGTTGATTAAATTGTTGTTATTTTTTAACATTTAAATGGAAAAAAAAAAGTGTTATTCATGGATTATTTTTTTTATCTTTGAATATGTAATTCCTGCAAAAAGTAAAATATAAATGGCTATTTATTTGATGTTAGATTCTTTTTAACAACTAAATTATTTCAGTTTTTAAAAAATGCATATAATGATTTTTAAAAAATCAGTTTTAATACAGAATTTTATTATTGGGGGCAATTTTTACCTACCTGTCATTTGGGGACATTTTTACCGGGGCCTTTTTTACCTGGGCCAATTTTTACCATACACCAAACTGGATGTAGGGTATTTGATGATGATGATAATTTTATTAAAGACTTAATTTAAAATGTGATTTTCTCCAACTTTATTCTAATATTTCAAAACCGTGTATGTTTTACTTATTATTTATAATAGTACATTGTGTTTGTTACATAGATGTAATTCCAGCATCAATGTAGAGGAATTTATGATTTTATTAAACTTTAAATACTTAATTATATGTGACTTTTCTCCTAATTTATTAAATTTTCCAAAGCCTTATATTTTTTAATTATTACAATACATTTTGTATTTGTTCTTAACTGTATTAAATTATAACATTATTGTAATGTAATACTCTAGCATCAATGACACATGTTTCAAAGTCATGCTTCACTTCCTAGCTTCTTACTTACATCTGACCTTCGACTTTTAACTGCAGGGGAGTCTGGCAAAATGTACCACCTGACCTTTATAACTGAATCCCAGAATGGTGTCCAATCATCTGAATCACAGTGAGCTGTTAACTCATCTAAAGATACTGTTGACTTATACTCTATGCAATTGCTGTTTTGGTACTTATTCAAACTCACAGTGCCGTTTACTCATCTAACTTACAGTACCGTTAATGTAAAAGCACTTGGTGAATTGGTCACTTATCTGAATCAGTGCTGTTAAGTCATCTGAATCAAAGTACTGTTTACTTAGGCCATGTAAAAAAAAAGTTTTTTAAAAAGAAAGTTGGTAGGGAGAGAGGTTTTATTTTTTTTTTTTTTTTTTGGTACATGCTAAGTCTTTGAATCCCCAATTGAGTGCAAGGCCTTATGTATATGGTGGCTGACTTTGCCAGATCTTCCATTGTAGCTTTTGATCAGGTAGAATTTATACGAACAACAATTGAAAGACAAAATAATTACCAAAAAATAAAGCCTAAACGCCTATCCTAAGTTGAATTATAGGCAGAACAACATTTTCGTGAGTTTTAGAGAAAATAATAAAAAAAAAATTTATCAGGGGATTTTTTTGTAAGTAGAATGGGGATGGTCAACGACTTTTGTTTTTTACATGGCCTTATATGCACTTGTTTGTGTCTCTTATCTGAACCATAGTGCTATTAACTCATCTAACTGAGTTATACTATTTACTTCTAATGTAACTATTATTTTATACACATATATTAGAATATTCACATAGCTACAGTTACTATATATCTCTACAGGCTGTTAACTTATCTGTTACACTGTTGTTATTCATTTACCTGACTCGGTGTTGTTAACGCATCTAACTGAATTACAGGGCTATTCACTAATTTCACTGATTCACAGTCCAACAGAATGCTGTTTACTTGATCAGATTATCACTACTTAACTCAAACTGACTCAGAGACCATCTGCAATTCAAGTGGACTTTCAAGTGCACATTGCTTTGAATGACCACAGAATTGTAAGAACAACAACATTCTGATTGGCTGTTTATGTTAGCCAGTCCAACAGATACCTTGTTATTAGACAATTATATTTCTTTGTTTTAAGTATCCTGGACCGTCATAGAAACATAAGAGAGTCTGATACGTCCATTGGGCGACAAAGCTAGAGGTACTCATTATAGCAATAAAACACAATTTACAAATCTTCAAAATAAGAGACAGAAGGGGAAGTGCAGAATGTTTACCAAGAACTGATTAGTAATATTAATAATTATTAAATTCCATTTGGTGATAAAAAAAAAAGTGTTATAAATTATTATCTGATGAATATAGTAATTATCAGTAATTCATATTTTTCCAAAATTGAAGATCTGTATGAAATCCCTACTGTACAATATAACACTTCAATTGGGATCTTATCTTTATGTGTTGATGAATTTTGAATTTGATGATGACTATGATCTAATTATGACAATAATATAAGGTCCGTGGGCTTGATGAAAATGATGATATGTCCAGGCTTGATGGATAAGATGATGATGACAATAACGATGATGATGACGATTATTATTATTAATATTATGATGATGATGATGATGATAAGTCATGGAAATGTGTTAGTTATGATGCTGATGATGCTAATTCTGCTAATGCGGAATCAGCTTAGAATATAAATTTTTGATTTTTTTTTCAATAAGATAATGACATTTAATTACATAAGAATAATGATAGTGATTGATCACTGATGAAAGGCATGGGGACAATCACAATTTTTTTTTGATAAATAAATTACAACAAAGTAATATTTACAGAACCATGAAATACATTTTTATAGCAGCTCATTGCCTGATGAAGACAGGCTAATATAAGAATATATAGCTATGTGAAGACTTAAAACGCATACTACAACATATTCAACAGTTTCTGATTCACATATAGTAGACACAGATAATCCATATGAGTGTTAATAAGGTTTATAATTGGTTCAGTGTACATTCTCCTGAACCTGCCTCCAGTGGAGCTGACCTAGCATCCCATGGTGCTTGCTATCTGTTTGTCACACCAAACCCTAGTTAACTACACGATTGCAATGGCTCTATCACATGCGCTACTTCATTCACTTTCAGCAGTGACATTTACTTGAAAAACGTTTTTGATCAATTACTGCCACTCTGAGCACTGTGCAACACAATTCTATTAAGTATTTAAAATTAATAATATTATTATTATTAATATTATTATTACATATTAAGATTATATAATTATGCTATTTTATTTAGAATTTCAGTTTCATTATTTTCTATAAATTTAAATATTTGTTTTCATTGTGTGTATTTTTATGCTAAATTCAAAGTTCAAATTCTCTTGGTCATAAAAATTATAATTAGCTCAACATGTTGCCCAGGCAAAAAGGTCAGTCGGTCAGATTTTTATTTTTTTACTATTCTACTTCATGATTTTATGATTATGATGCCTAAAATAATATTATTTAATTAAATAGGTAGATTTATGAAGCTCAAATAAACAATGTCTCTAAGCGTTAGCACTCACTCTGTCATGTGGAACAGTCAAAATGATGACCATAGGCCTAAATAATGTATATAGTTCAGATAAAAATTAACTAAAGTATTTTTGGCTCATTCTTAAGGGTAATATTTTCTACATTCTGGGTTGGTCAGGCTTAAAAATATAAAAACACATTTATTGGCCCACTGAAAAGACAAATTTAGCAAACCAAAAAATAGATTTAGAAATGTTTAAAAAACATAATATATTATAACACGAGTCATTTATATCACTGATACAGTATACCTAAACATGTTTTTTTTTATTTTATTGTTTGGATAAATAGACAATTGAGAGTAGCAGACTATAGGATCTTGAGCATAGTATTTCCAATGTGTGCAGAAGTATTAGCAGTAACATTAATCCGTGCTATAAAGTATAATGGCTAAGCTCTTGCTACCGCAAGCTCCCTATATTTTTAAAGTCATATAATTATGCAAAAACGACTTTCAGATATTACACAAAGTGAGACACTCTGAGCTTGTTCACCTATAGAAAGACTTAGTACTGTAGGTCAAGTCTGCATAGTAAAGCTCTAGGCATACTGTAATACTCAACGATATGATACAAAATGTTTTGAAATTAAATAATTCTAACATTCCTAATTCTAAATGATATAATCAATAATTAAAATTACAGAGAATGAGAAAGGTAGCCTTTACAAACTGCCAAATTCAAGAGTGGACTTTTATGATTAAAGTTGCAATCACCTATAGATAATTTACATTGTCATGTAGGCTCATCTTTTAAATTATGCTTGTTTTATAACTGATTTTTTTTTTTTTTGAAAATTATAAAAAAAAAAAAAATTGAAAAATGTTATATTGTAAGAATTTGTTTTTAGTCAAAGAGCCTCCACTTGGCAGTGATTAAGTTTACTTGTCTTGTCTTATTCTTTTGTGCTTTTGTGGTTGTTCTTTGCTGTTTCTGTTTGTTGTAAATTTTAATGTTTGAGACAAATAAATAAAATGAAATCATCCTGCCACTCCTCTGGTCCTGAATTATCATAATTTTCATCATAAAAATTCAAAAGACAAGAAGCAATTTAGTTAGGGGGTATCTGGTATTATAGGTAAAGAATTAATTTAAAACCTGTTTTTTTACATAGATGTGAAAAAATACAAAACAAATTGTTGCTCTTACCTGCCAGTGGGAAATTATAGTCCAGACTAATCCTAGGGTCAGCTTTGGGTTTCCATCTACAATGTCATTATTACTAATGTTCACCAACCTCACCTGAAAAAAATAGCAACTCTCCATAATCATAAGAACCAGTTACCATGAGACACCAGTTACCATGTGGAACTAGTTACTGTGAGACCCAGTTACTATGGACACCAGTTATCTTGCAACCAAGTTGTTATTATGGACTAGCCCTAGCCATAATAGTTACCATATCTATTGCAATATATGTGAATTATGTAATAAATTTTGTGGAATCTAGTTGCTAAGGGACTCAGTTGTCATGGAGCACAATATGTGCAACCTAGTTGCCATGGTTTCTAGGAACTGATTCTATAACTGTGGAGTGATTTTATTATCTGTTTTGTTACTGATTTTTGGGGTTATTTTTCTTATGGTGGCAGTTGAGTGTGGGTTTCTTCAGTATTTTGTCGTTATTATCTTTATGAATAAAATTCTGAATGTACAGTATAAATAAGTGTCAATTCACATAAATTTTGATAATTTCACTTTGAATCAATTCAAAAATATTTTAGTTACAAATAAAATTTAGAGATATTTCAGATAAGTTGTGATGAAAAATTGTTGTCTTGTGGGCATGAACTAAGACAACCTCAATTGTAATAATTCATTCCGTTGGCATTTCAACTGACAAATTTATTCTTTCTCAATGCTAAAGGATTACATTAAAGAACCGTTCCTAGTAAATTCACACGGACATTTCCAATTGAGGAATTAATAACGTGATTAATAAGTACGCAACGAGTAATTAGTAATTACTGCGAGGGAAGAAATGTACAATCTAAATCGAGAATTATGGAAGCTTGCTCAGAACATCAGCTCGGGTTCCGGGCCTTTCATAATCTTTCTTATATGTGCTCATATAAAAAGCACAGGAAATTGCCTGCTTTTACAATAACAAATACATTTTCAGAATTGTTAATGTTGTAATTAACTGCCTAGAACAATTTTGCCAAACAATCTAGGCTGCTTTAACACTGGTTAGTTGCTATTAAGGCTTTACTATTGTGATACCTATATGCCTATAAGCCTTTGGTACATAAATTAATTTTTTTTTTAAACTGACATACAGTAGTTTTAGTTTCAAATTATTCTTTCATTTTTTGATTTGATAATGAACCATTAAAAAATCAAAATTTATTTGGATCGAACTTTACAACCCTAAGGTGTGGGGGAAATCACCCTACCGTCATTCCACAAATTTGATGAGCAGTAAAATGAAATGAACTCTTTAACAACTTCATTAAAGGAGGGAAGTTTAGCTTTGTATACTAAACAAGTGCATCGCTAATCAAGTTTGATTCATAGAGTCTCTAACCTACTCGGGCATTATATAAAGTGTTTATTATCTGTGAGTTACACAGGCTTGCATTGATTTTGCTTTTCTAACATGCAGGTCAATTTACTTCTGAATATTATATCTTGACAGGTATTCTATTCTATAAACACACACTGGATGAATAAAGCAATGTAATATTTTATCAATACAATTAGAGTTGAAAACTAGCTTTATCAATATACGGGGATTTCAGATGAAATGTTTCTTGTCTGTTTCCTTTCGTTGTTGTGAAGCGCCTTGAGGTTGGTTCAACAGCAGGTGCTATACAAATTGCAAATTATTATTATTATTATTATTATTAAATGTACATGTTTGGGCTATGAATATCTTTATGTGTGAAGAAAATAATTATTTGAGATGAGTTAGAACTTAAATGAATTAACAAAAAAAAATCAAAAAATTAAATGAACAAAGAAAGAAAGAACAAATTACAGATAAAATGAACAAAAAAGAAAGAACAAATTACAGATTGAAGAAATAAACAAAACAAAAACCCCCAAAAATCGAAATGAAAGAAGGAAAAAATAAGAAATTGAACAACTGAACAAATAACCACTGAATAAGTTATTAATTAATGTATGAAAGGATTTGGTGAATGAGACAATTTTGTTCAAGCAAATCTCTATTGCCATTAAACAAGCAATGTTGTAACAATATCTATTTAAATTTATGTTATTTATTTATCTTTAATCTAAATGTTTAACTTATCTTGGTACCTTCTATATCTTTTAATGTTCAGAATCATTTAGTAGTACCGACCCTGACTTGACGCTTGTTTATTCTGAAATATATGATACTGTATCAGTGGATTCTGGAATTTTGATTATGTACTGTAGTACAACTTGATTTGGAATTATAAATTGGTGAAATGAAGAAAAAAAGGTTAATTTTTGAATGACTGAAATCAATAATATGATTAATTGAGAGGGAGAATTAAGCATGATAATGGTATAAGTCAATGAATAAATTAATCTGAAGAAGCTTAAATAAATTAATTAAACGTAAGAATATTTAAATAATAAATTGAATTAATTTATTATCACACAATTTGTGATAGAGATGATTCAGACAGCCCTACAACGTATATCCGGTATTATGCAGGAATTAGAATTAATTTCAGACAAAACCATATTTAATTATCAGATAGATTATTCAATATTACCATGGCGATATTTTTAATATAATACATGAGTTTTGATCTTTTTGTCAAGGGTACATGCAAAAATTATGTGCTTGGTGGATTTTTTCTGCTACACTAAGAATGATTTTATGGTTAGAGTGTATAACTATACAGGTAAGGCTGGTTAGATGGAAACTGGTTAAATTATGAGATGAAAGATGACGACATAGCGAGATTGGTCAACAGCAATCATATAATGACAGCGTAGATGAAAAATACTCGCAGTGAAGCTTAGAAACAGGAGGTAAAAAAACATCATGGTTAGTGATATTTATCATCATTAAATTATAATTTATTATTATTAAGAGAAAGGAAATGAAATTGACAACAAACATGTTAGGTGCTACAAAATCAGTAGAATATATATCATGCATAATACATTAGTTTTCTATGCACTATAAATGTTACCCCAATCACACATACAGAATCATACACATGCACACATTCTTCACCTCCAGGGATTTTACTTGCAATTGAGCATAAGACAATTTTGTTTCAAATCATCCACCCTCCCCATTTCAACATCCTGAGTATAAATAGATAATATAATTTGTGTGTCTTTCCCAATGACAAAGTGATTTGACATGAATTTAACTGTAATTCACAGCCATTTGGTTGGCTGCCCCAAGCCATTCAGTACATCTCCAACAAATACAGTGTGCATCCAATAAGCACATGTACCGTAGCACATTCAACATTCATGTCATAAGGTTCGTGAGCTAAAAATCACTCTCAATGACTGTTTTAATGTAAAAATCCTGAGCCACTATTTTGTGACTGGTTATGAAGCATCACACCCTTAGATATATTTTAGTATGACATCAATGCAGGATTGATTATAAACAGATTATACAGTAGGTTCACTATTGCATAATAATCAGAGCTGGTATTTTGTATACATATAATAAAACTTGCACTATAAAAATAAGCATACTACAGAATATGACATTTAACATTAAATACAAGTTAAAAGTAAACAAATTAGAATAAAATATTAACAAGGTTCTCACTACAGTTGTTCTCCCCCAAACAGCACTCAAACTTTCTGACTTCAGAAGTAACATGCTGCCAGCCACTATTAAAATTTGGGGGATTTTGGACACTTTGGAAATAGAGAAGTATATGAAACATGTAATACCTTGTGGGCCCTGCAGTGCAAAGTCATTCCAACCCGACGATTGCCCATCAGCACTCATTAAATACTTGTTCAAAAAACCCGATTAATTATTTTCTAATCACCTTAAAAAAATAAATATTAATAAAACTAAACAATGATAATATCATTCTGACTTTACAATTAAAAAAAAATAGAATATACAGTATTACAAACATTTATTAATTGGGTACACCACTGCAAGCCTACTGTACTCAATAGAACTTTGCCAACATCCATTACTGAACAGTCATGCATGATATGTACTGTATCACTATATTGAGGGCAATAAATGATAATACAGTAGGCCTACAACAAATGTGAAAAAAAAAACTATATACCAAGAAAAAATACTAAAATATTATTAATTACAATAGGAAAATATTAGTAGGCCCCAACTTGGTTTCTGTCGATACTCCATCTAACTTCACATAAAAAAACCAAGGACAAGAATATAATCAACCAATTATTGTCAAACATGGATTATTTCATGGTAATATGATACCTATGCACAGATCTTATAACCACTAGTTATTTAAACATTGTTACATAACAATCCATAGTAATATCATAGTCAATAATTGATGATAAAAGCAATTTACTGCACGCTTGACTGCACGTTGCATTTCATCCGTGCTGCTCAACTCCACTTGACATTGAATGCCTTAATAACAATAATTAAAGTCAGGCATTTCACTAATAATATTAATTAGTGTATATTTCATATTTTTCTTTTTTAACTTCAAAAATGTATAAAAAATCCAATTTTAAACTCAGCTAGAGTATTCTATAAAATTCTAAAATTAGCTACTTCTGTCAATTTCTAGTTAAACTAAATCAAACATAGGGGCAATTATAAAAGTTATCATTGATGTTTCAAAAGAAATATTTAAACATAATTTCATAACTAATAAATTAACAATAGGTAATATAAATTACAAATAACTTTTCAGGCATTGAAGTCAATTGTTTGCATTACATTTTAAGTTGAAACACCATTTTCATGGTTATATACCTATAGCATGCAAAATATTTTGTATCAGGCCAAACAACAAAAATTACTTGTTTCCCAAACCACCCCGACCCCCTCCCCTTCACCAATTTTTGGTGTTTTACATTCTTAAAATTAAGGAGTTTTTTTTTTTAATCGAAAATGCAAAATTTCAATTGCTAACACATTTTATAGTTTATAAATGCATTTTTAAACACAGAGACCATAATAACAGCAAGGCGAGCAATGACAAAACTATTGAAATCTTGTTTTTTTTTATGCCCAAATGTGAAAAATAACAAATATCAAATATTAAGTGCCTCACTCACTAACTTTTTGAAAAACAAAGGACGGGAAATAAGGATTTTTT